CAGACAGAGTGATAATGTGCATTTGCTTGCTTCTGGAAATTGAAGACGACCAGACATTGCTGGACAGAATATGGTTTTGTGATGAGGCACACTTTTACCTGAACATACATGTTAATAACAAACAGTATATATATTGGTGCTCTGCAAAGCCTGACGAATTGTAGGAACGAAATCTCCACCACTTGAAAGTCACTGCCTGGGTTGCCATGAATCACCAGGGCACCTTTCGCCTATATCATGGACGAGGATTTAGACACGCTGAGGGTCACCTCTGACCGTTACCTCAAGAAATTGACCAGGTTTTGGAGAGCTCTGAGGAGGTTGGTCGGAATGGAAGTGAGAGCAGAGCAGCATTTCATTCAAGATGGTGCTGCCCCACACACTGCAAAAGCTGTCCTTCTAATGATTTGGTTCTGAATATTAGTTGGGTCACAAATCACCATCATTACAGAGTCTTAAACTTATGTTCTGATTACATGCATTGTGTCATTAAATTCTGGTGCAGACTTATACACTCAGAAAATGACAGATATTCAAAGAAATGTTACATGCAATTATATCGTTCCTGTGAACTGGGCAGAGTCAACTTGGCTACGGAAATTAATAACCTATTATTTTCCCTGGGTTTTGGATACGCCTGGTTTTCTCAAATTGTTGGAAGCACTAGACTCTTTCTCAGTGAAGTAAAAAGTAGACTTGTTGATCATTCTGTGCAGAACATAGAGGCAGAAGTCTGACGCTAGTATAATTTATTCTCTCTTACAATTCCGTTTCAAGAATCAGCTGAATATATCACCAACCTCCCACGGTATTGGAACAAAAGAATCGTAGCTTTGTTAAAAACTCATAGCCTTCCACTAAATAACAATCTCTATTGGTGGAAATTAACTAATTCGCCCTTATGTGAGAGGTGTAACTCTCATGAAATTGAAGATGAATTTCACTTTATTTTCTATTGTTCACACTTTGTCCATCAAAGGAAATTGTTAATTCCTCCCAGCCTAACTCAGCCCAGTGACAGAAATATGCAATGTTTGACTATTGATAAGAGATATGTGCACAACTTTTACCTATTCATTATGGAAACATTATTTATCAAATGATTGTTTTGTGTTATGTGATGTGGGCCATAAACACTGAATAAACTTACTTTAATTAAGCGTGTACGAGAGATAACAAAACACATTTTCTCTTCAATGTTATGCAAGGGCACTGAGAACAAAATACTGTCATTTTATGCATATGTGTCATCAGTATTAAACGACCAGTGTTGTTAACATCAATAAAAGTAAAACACGTATTATGACGTTTACAAAAGCAAAACACTAAAAAAGAGAACCCAAAAATAGTGATCATTAGTTTGAAAACAGATTGACATTATTTTTATGAAGCGTTTTCTCCCATCAAGGAGCTGCAATAAAGTTGCCTGAGATTTGTATATCAAATATCTCCATTGTAGAACATAAAACTATTATTAAGCTGTTCGAATGTGAGAAACCACACGAAAGAAAAAGTATGCATGGATCTTAGTCTGTAATTATCACCATCATCGTAATAATCGCCGTCATCATCATCATTAATTTCATCAGCAGTGGCAGCACATGCACATAAGAAAATCTATTAAACAAGTGAGTATTTTGCTTTAGAAAAAGAAGAAAGAAAAGCCAAAAACAGAAAAGACGTATTATATTCAGGTGTCAGGTAAGGGTAAACTACGGAGTAATCATATACAAATAAGTCATTGACACTGCCCTAATGGGAAGTACGGACCTGGTGAGACGAAACCAACTTATCAACATCAGGTTTCAGATTGGTCAGTTACAGACGCTAATCGCCACGCTCTGTGATCCTTAGTTCTTTCCTCTGCTTCGTCAGCAACCTTGTCATTGCACAGAATCCCCTTTCTACTTGACAGGAGGTGGAAAAAGCGATGAACAAAAACTTGATATTTTCCCACAGGGAGGGATATTTCTCTTGCACAATAGTTTTCAACCGGAATGAATGGTACGACTTTTTGAAAAATGGTTTTGAGTTCAAAGTCACTTTTCACTGTCAGCTCTTCTTCAATTGCCTCTGTCAGGTCACCATCTGTTCCAGTACTGAGTGGGTCAAGTACCCAGTCTGGAATTTCCAGTCAAAAGATATCAGTAAACCTTGTCTTCGCGGTCATATCAGCCTGCAAATCTTTGAGGTGGTTGGTATATATTTCTAGTTCCTCGTCAGAAGCCCGCCCTTCTTTCAGTGTCTCTGTCAAGCTAAGAAACTGAGCAAATTCTCTTCTGCCAATGTTTCGGTGAAACATTTCCAATTTCGACAAGAATGACGAAAGCAAGGAGTTTGCCTTGATCAAGTTGGTGTCATCCCCCGGCAGCTGCAAGTTGAACTGGTTGAACTTTGTGAAAACCTCTGTGAGAAACGAAATGTTGTTCTTGTGTTCTTTCAGTTTATTGCAGAGATCACTGTCTGTTTCTTGAAAAAAGCTCCAGCATAGAGTCAAACAGGCAGAACAATAATCGTGTTAAACTGTTTCCTTTTGAGAGCCACCGGACCTCAGTGTGCAAAAGGACTTGAAGGTTCTCGTCATTTTCAGTAGACAGCTGCTGGAATAATCTCGAGTTCAAAACGCGGACGTTGATCTTGTTCACACACTTGATGACAATGGCCAGTGTGTCATGCAGACTTTCATTCAGGCTTTTAGCCACCAAATTCTGTCTGTGAATGACACAGCGAACAGTTAGTACTCCAGGGACAAATTTCTTTAAGAAGCTATTAAATCCACGATACCGACCAGTCATCAATGGTGCTCCATTTGTTGCACAGGCAACTATGTTGGCCAGAGGAATCTGTTCCTCCTCGAAAAATTCTTGGACCACTTTGAAAATGGACTCGACTTTGGTATCTGTTTCCAACATTTTCGCAAATAACAATTCTAGCATTATTTACCTCACCCTCTATGAACCGATATTCAGTTGAAGGCTGAACGCACGTCCTTTAAGCATTTTGCACAATGATTCCTTAACACTTGCAAACATCGATTTAACTGATTTTTATTTCTGAAAATTGATCTTTAGAGTTTTGAAGTATGTCAGATCTTTGTCAGATTTGCCGGGATGAATCATCTTTATATGGGCTTTGAGTGCTGGGAAAGAACGTTTTTAGTAATAAGTAGTATTGTAAACTATGCCTAAGTCATCAATTTTTGTTTTTGTTTTTTTATGTGGCTTCTTTCCCTTCTCCAATTTTTATGTTTCATTTCATGACAATTTCACACCGCCCCCTTAACGCCCACCACCGCCCCCCAATTGCCCAATTTCGCTACAGCGCCCCCCAAACTGACGCCACCGCTCCCCTGGGGGCGGTAGCGCCCACTTTGAAAACCACTGGTGTAGATGGTAGACTGTGCAATAAAGATTAATATTCTCGCCATTAAAACATATACCAGTGTTCGATTGAGTAAAAAAATTTTTGGGGGAGTAGCGCGATTTTATTTTCCTTTTACCTTTGAGAAATATAAAGTAGTCTAAACAGTTAGTTGTGTTATAAAATAACATTTTATGCTTGAATAATATTACTATTTGTGAGGCAGCGTGGTGGAATCAGGCTCTTTTTGTACATGTAGAGTTATTGGTATCATCTTAAAGCTTGTTCATTTGTCTTTATTTGGATGAAAAAAGTATCCATTTATCTTGAATACGAGTCGAGATATTTGCGAAAGAAAGAGGTGGGGTCACCTGTTTTCAGAGGTAAAATTAGTGAGAAAATGGCCGCCAAAGATTAGTTATTTCCTTACCTTAAGAGTCCGTGGTATATGAAAATTTGCATTTTTGTGCCTTTAATCAATGCTTTTCAGAAAAATCCGCACTGAAATGAGTTCTTTAATGGGCATGAAAGGTGTTGAGCCAAAAAACAAAAATTTGATAAAAATTCCCAAACCTGCGAAAAAATGCAGGTTTCTTCACTTTGATTATTTTGACGAGAGCCTGATTCCACCACGATGCCTCACATTAATTACAGTACTTACAAAATTGACATTTTTCTGACCATATAGCGGATTTTTTTCTATTCTTTGTTTTTTTAATAAGATGCAGCTCTTTGTTTATCAAAATCTACAATAACATTAGATCACAGTCATCTAAGAGAGGTGATACATTTAACTAAAAATAGGAGAAATCGAGCCCTCGGCACGCTCCTCGCGTTTTGTAAGTTAAACTACCCGGACATTCAACGTCAACGGAAAAATAGCTGTTCCTTTGTTCTTGATCACCAGTATATTATAAAGTAGCCAGCTCTTCCACAAAGACTCATTAGCGCTTTGTTTTTTCACGTTGACTTTAATGTACTCCAATCCTCTACTATGACCTCTGAGCATTTTGTTCTTTCACGGTAACGTTTGCGTACTCTGCTTTCCACAGTGACCTGTCAGTCCTCTGTCTTGTCGACCAAACCTGTCAGTTGCTGTGTGTTTTATAATCACAACCCTTGGTCTTTGTCTTTACATAAAAAAGCAGGTTCAGACGGACATTCATGACAGGGCTGAGGAAGTTGAACGAAGAACAAAGTAAGATACGTGGCGTCGGTGGCCTGGATTTAGAGGTTACGCAAACGGACCAGTAATCGTGATTTTGCGGGTTCAGGGGTTAGAGCCTCATTTCGGTCCGACGTTGTGTCCGTGGGAAATGCACTTTGCTCAAATTTCCCATTTGGTTCGGTCCTTTCGGAGGTGGACGTTAATTAAGCTCAAAAGTCTCGCCTCTTAAATTACCCAATAGTGCTGATAAGGCCGTTAAATCTATACCATATCATCACTTTCAAGTGAGATATTTAGAGGCGTTGTAAAATTATATTGATTTATAAAGCTGTGTGGACTCTATAATGGACCAAATGACAAATATAGATGAATAGACAGACAGACAGACAGACCGACGGAAAGAAAGAAAGACCGATAGACAAACAGACAGATAGACAGACAACAAACAAACAGACAGGCACACTATACTCACCAGTTGCGACCCAAGTCTCATACTTCTCTCCTTGTCTGCCATCTTCTTCCTCTCTTGGGCATACTGGCTGGGCATTCCTGCCACGGATGAGCACACGAGCCATAAGACTAGGACCACAAAAGTAGTACCTACGGCGGCCGAAATAACGTAGCCTTTGAACATCCTGCTGCTTCGTCTCGGTTTTTTAAGAAGAGTTGAGGACTCAGCCTGATGAAAGAGGGAAAGGACAAAATGATATACGGTAGTCTTTATGAAATGGGTTCTAGTGGTCAAGAGGTACGGTGTTCACCTCTCCGTCAAAGGAACCGGGAACGAAGCTTGCCAGCGACGGAAAACCATTTACTCTAAAATTGTATCATACGCCCTCCGTTTCTGTTCTCTAGTCCTGTTCTCACATCTACGTTTCTCTCCACACTGTCTCCACTTCTGCCCACCCCAGCCCTCTCTCTCTGCTCATCTTCTCTTCTTCCTGAACTTTTTACACTGCTGCTGCGGCTCCTTCTTACTGCTCTGTCTCTCGCAGCCACAGCCCTAAACTTAGGGTAGGTGAGATTGAAAGGCCTAGCCTTCTCTGAAACGGGAGAAACGTATCGGAGGTACAGTGTGCTTGTTGCACACGTCGAAGATCTCTTAGTGGTTTAAAAAGCAATAGAATATGCTGTGGTTACTGCACGGAAGAAATTCAAAATGAATTCCAAAGAATGCATTAACATCAACTGAAAGTCATTGACCTACTCTACTGGAATGGATCAATAAATCTTGAGAGAAAAGTGACACATATGTTCCCAAGTTGCCAAATATATATTAGCTAATGTATAGATTGATTCTCTATTCCTCTTTCGTTGTTGTACACTCCAGAATTTCAAAGGTGTGGAATCAGTACTGACACACGGATAGTGAACGGAAACCTCAGTTGTCTACAATGGCGTCTTAGAATACGGACTTTCCCAAGAATAGAACTTCTCTGTGTGGACAAAACAAAACATTTAGGAAAAATCAGGGAAAGCAATTAGCGTGGATCTTTTAAAGTTAGGTCCTAGCCACATGGACGCTGTGGACGCCTGCAAAGTTTCAAATATGTGGGTTAGGTAATAAGGGAGGAGTTTGTGCACAAAGCCTCCCAAGTCCACTTTTATGTATGTACTAGCTGGGCGCCCGTTCGATGAACGGATTGAGACAGAAGCGTGTGCGTGTTGGCTGTTCCCAGTAGCAAGAACAACATTTTGACAAAGGAGTCCAAAAAAAGCGATGATGGGCATCAAACGAAAGGGTCACAGTCAAATTTAGCACCAAGTAAAAAAAAAAGAAAACATAAGGCTAGATCTATACGGGTCGCACACTTAAATAGTGCTCAGTTTTGCGCGGCAGTGCGTGATGGTGTTGTGCGGAAGTACGACTTGAAATAAACAAACCTGACGGATTTTCTAAAATTACAGAGACAGAAGCGTCGGCCTACAAAAACGTTCGGCGAAATAAACAAATGTAGCTTTTTGCAGCAAAGCTGTCTCAAAACTGAAAAAAACGAAGGGCGTCATGGTCTGGAAAATATTTTAAAGATTCTTTGGCTTAAAACGCATGTCGATCGATGCCGCCATTAAAAAGCCTTTTGAATAGCAAAATTCGGCCTCCACAAATAGATAATAGACACACACACACACACACACACACACACACACACACACACACACACATATATATATATATGTGTATATGTATATATATATATATGTGTGTGTGTGTATAGATAGATAGATAGATAGATAGACAGATAGATAGATAGATAGATAGATAGATAGATAGATAGATAGACAACAAATATAGAGTACTTTTGAAATTAAAATGTTGCTGCCTGAAAGCAAGGGGCCGTACAACGTAGTAAAAACGGTCACCTACGTAAAAAAACAACCCAGTTGCACTGTGGGTTGAACAATCAGCAGATCTAGCTAGGGAGCGTAAAGAGGAAAAAAGAAATGATTTTCATAGCATATTTTATTTAGTCTTTGTAACGTGAAGGATGGAATTATTATAATTGTCGAAAAATGATCATCAAATGTGTTGCTTTTTACAAAAACTCTTTGGACTTCTCTAGATACCAATCACTTGTTGCGCTAAGATCATAATTTAGGAAGTAAGATTCCGACCTTGCCTGCCAGAGACAACGAAGACGGAGAAGAGCACAGCATTCTATTCAAGAAACTGAGACTGATTTCTCCCTGTGCAAGAATCGCACACGGATCTACTGCGTGTGACAGCGACGCCTCTAACTGTTACACCACAGTAGTTATGTGGCGTTGGTGGCCTAGTGGTTAGGCTCTCGGACTCGCAACCGTAAGGTCGTAGGTTCGAATCCCGTCAGGGGCCCGACGTTGTGTCCTTGGGAAAGGCACTTTACACAAATTGTCCTCACTTCACCCAGGTGGGAATGGGTACCCTGCTATAGACAGCGAGAGATCTTGTCAGTTTGTTAGTAGTGTTTGAGCGCTTAATCAGCTACTTGCACTGTATGCTTCCTGGGAAGCTGAGAATGTTTCGGAGTGTTCTTTGGTCTGCTGGGGTAATAATATAGTGTAAAGCGCATATAGCCTGCTGTTGAGCGGGGATATTATTTTTTTTTATTTCTTAAAAATTATTGTTATTATTATTATTATTATTATTATTATTATTATTATTATTATTATTATTATTATTATTATTATTATTATTATTATTATTATTATTATTATTATTATTATTAGTTGGTCCCTAACGGTCTGCCACAACACGAGATAGGCGAACTAGAGAGAGACAAGAACGATGATGGCAGGACGACATCAAAGAGAGGATGGGTGCAACCTGGACATGGAAAAAACCTGATATAAGTTATAACATGATAGTAATACAGGTCGTTATAGAACGGCTATATCTCGCAGTGGATGAATACCGCTTAGAAAGAAAGAAAGAAAGAAAGAAAGAAAGAAAGACATTCTTATGAAGTCATTACAACAGGTAACCTTCAAACACACAATACACACACACGCGCGCGCACACCACACACACACACACACACACACACACACACACACACACACACACACACACACACACACACACAGACCTCACACACACACACACACACACACACACACACACACACACACACACACACACAGACCTCACACACACACACACACACACACACAGACCACACACACACACACACACACACACACACACACACACACACACCACACACACCTACACACACAGCTAGTGTCTGGCGTGTGATATTAGCACAGTGTTCACTTGCAACGCAACGTACACACGTTTTTCTCACCTTAACCTGGTTCCTGTCAGAACAATTTGGACTTGAATTATTAATTGTTTCTGCCTGGGCGTTGTTGCTCCATATGGATACACGAGGAAGAGAATAGATCTAACCTTTTTCTTCTTTCTTTTTTTTCTCTTCTTTTTTTCTCTTTTGGGGGGGGGGGGTCATCATCATCACCCGGTGCCTTGCCGACTGGCGTGGGAGATCCCAGGGAACTCCCTTTAATTCTGGTGT